AATTGTTCACCCTTATGTTACCATATAGCATCAAACAATTTTGAACAATTTATAACACACAATTAAATGTTTAAAGAACTTTTAAAGCCAGACCACTTTGGTGACTAACAAGCTACCCTTAAAATTAAAAACTAAATTGTGAAGTTTTCATTATGATAATGTAATTTAGAATTAAATAACTTGAGAATTTAATCACTTTGGTGAGTAAAATTCACTTCGATGTAATTCTAAAATTATCTATATATTTTATGAATTATATTCCTTATTATGTCGTAAAATTACTATGCACGGCCGTGCTTTTATTTAATGCATGGTCGTGCTTCGATGAAGCAAGGCCATGCTCATTTCTGATGCATGCCCCTGCTTCCTGAAGCATGGCCGTGCTTCTTGATGTATGGTCGTACTTATAATTAATGCATGGTCGTGCTTACAATATGCAAGGTCGTGCATCATTGAAGCATAGTCGTGCTTGTTCCTGATGCGTGGCCCTGCTCCAAGATGCATGACCCTGCTCACTAATATATGGTCTTGCTCACTAATATATGGCTCTGCTCATATTACAGATTCAAAATCCAATGTTTTTAGCTTCCAAAACCTTAGGATTTTCAATTATTGAATCCAAAATAATTATTTAACATCAAAATTATGTCAATTCATCATATAAAATACCTAGGGTTCATGTAATTTGGCAAAAATTTTAATGGAGAACCAATCTCGTATGAAGAATCAACGAAATTCACAACCTTGATCTAATACCAACTGTTAAAATTTTCTTAATCCATTATGTAATTTATTATGCAATGACTATTATGAAATGACCTTTTCCCATTAGATCTTGAATTACATTATTCTCACAACACAATACATGATTTTCATACAATTAAGGGTCTAGAGAGCACTACCCTAAATCCATTGTTCCTTGATGTTACCTCTCTCTCTAATGTCGTTGATCCCTTTGTATCTTTCCCAACTCTTCCTTCCTCTTTTAGCTCCTCTCGGATAGTTGAGAGAAAGTTTCTTTCTTGCATTTACTGTGAGCACACTTAGAGACCGTGAAAGTGATATAAAATAGAGAATGTCGTAACTCCTATTTAGTAACCGCTCTTTTATTTATCTGAAGGGAGAAGGGAGAGTTTCTTTATAATTGTATTTACAATTATACCTTCTATGACTCTATATTTTTTATTTAACTACCATTACATTAAATCATTAATTAGAGTCATGTTATAAATTACATAAGCCACAATAATAAGATTATTAAAATAATCTAATAGTATACACCTTGGAATATAAATTATGTCAATTATTTATTTGCTGAAGTTATTTATATCAACAATTGTAGTATATATAAGAGTTAATGACAGTAAGAGTAGTTAAGGAGAAGAAGACAATGTATACTGTTAGAACACCAAAGGTGGTATCTGATCTGAACTTAATTATGATTTGGATGAACTAAATATGCAGTGTAAGAGAGAACAAGAAAAATTTCCTTTGTAGTGTGCCTATAGGTGTGTTTTATCTATCACGGTATAAAGTAGTGACATCAATTTCCAAAAGGAGGTTTGTAAAACAACTATAACCAGCGGAAGTGGAAGAGAAAATGGGAAATTTTATTTAAAAAACGTCCTTCATATGTGTGTTTTCTTAGTTCGCGGTAAAAATCAATGACATAATGAATGGTTTGTAAAATATTTTGATGGAAGTGAAAGAGAGAATGGGAAAATTTGTAAGTATATGTGCGTACAGTAATTGTTTATATAGTAACTTGATGTTAAGAGTGATCGCCTTTCTTTGGCCACGTAAAGGTTAGGTAGCAACTCCTCCACCTCCACAGGTCACCCCTCAGAAAATCCAAAAATCCCAAACACCAACGAATGAGAAAAAATTGGGTCTTCGTCTTCAAAATCATATTCAGATTGCTGTATATTTTTATTTTTTATATATTAGAGATCTGTAAAGTGAACAAGAAAGTTTATATAAAACTCAGCGTACATAAAAAGAAGGATTATTTTGCAATATAGTTTCTAGGGACTGAGTTGAAAATTGAAATAATTTGTGAAGGTAATATTTAATATCATTTGTTGTTATTATTAAACAAACAAGTCAAACTTTATTGGTGAACCACAAATTGAACTGTTATTTAACCCCTCAATTTGTGAACCTTTACATTGCGTTGAGAAGAGCATATTATTGACGAAGGTTTTGTCGATTCGACCTAAAATAGGTTTAAGGTGCTAAGGATTTTCACGGATAAGCATAATATGTCGGGTTCGGATTCCAAATTACTAATACATTAATATTTGAGTTGGTAAAATTTAGAGTAACATGTATAATTGAGAAAATTTAATATTCTCTTACACGTAAAACAATTTTGATTGTTAATTTTAAGTTAATAAATAATAAAATTAATGATTTAATTAAAAAATATTAGAAAAATTATAACAGTTAATTTGAAAAAATTACAGAATACTCTTTCAAGTTTACTTATATTTAACATGAAAAAAGGTAACAGTTCACTATCAATTATACTTTCTTATAACCCTTACTTATGAAAGTAAATGAGAGAACCTAAAAATTATCCGCAAAAATATAATAGTTATATTAATAAATATCATTTTATTTATAAAATATTAAATTCAAAGGAAATCCTTAGCCTTTGTTTTCGTGTCTTGCATTCGATGCCTTTGAAGTTATATTTGGTTCATTCATTTCACTTGGACAACTTGTAAAAGTTTTTCTTATCACTTTAGGATCATTTTCTACGTCCACACCAATACGGAATCATCTTGAACCCACCTTATACTCGTTGAAAGGTACTTGTCTAAAATATTCGAAAAAAAAAAAACTAAACATTATTAGAGCTTTTATATTCGTAATTTGTGGAAAAATATTTTGTTGACAGGAAAATGGGACAACTAATTTTTTTTCTTTATTTTATTTTTGACTTTTTAACCCGCACATATAAATGATAAAGATTAAATAAATTGTATATGGTATTATATATTATATTAATTTTAAATATTCAAATAAAATTTACGTGATCCCTTATGATTCCAAGAGATTTTCTCTTCCCAAAAAGTAAAGATGTAACCATCAAATATACATTGCAGTACGGACATATCATATCATATCGTATTGACACTTGATTGCAAGCCAGAATATAAATATTGTACCACCTGATTTGAGCTATTGTCAGCTTGTTTCACACTTTTACATGTCTATTGACATTTTTCAAATGATACGACTCATAAAAAGTGAACCATGCGACAAATTTATTATAATATTATAAATTAAAAAATAATTTATTATTTTATAATAAATTTGAAATAATTTTTTAATTTGAGATTTTTTTGTCACGTGAATCAAATTTTTGTTAAATGGCTGGCGAAAGTATTAATTTTTAAATTTTTTAATATTTATTTCGCCAAAAAAAACGAAACACGACTTCTTAGAGCGGTTAATTTAAAACCGTTCTCATAAGTCTATTTTAGAGAGCGGTTCCTTTGTCTATGTTAGAGAGCGGTTCATAACTCATTTTAATATTTTAATATTTCTAATTTAAATTATATAAATACTATTATGTTTTTTAAAATAAAAAATATTATTATTTACATACAAATTTTATTTAAATACAAAACTCTACTTACTGTCTAAAATTAAATTACATTTTTATTTTTTTATATTTCTAATTTAAATCTACATAAATTTTATATAAATACAATTTTAAAATTATACTTCAATATAAGTGTAAAAATTATTTATTACAATCAAACTAAGATATTTAGTTTTATATAATTATTTTATTTAACTCAATTTTTATTATTCTGTATTTTAATAAATATCTATAATAATTCCTGTAAACAAATTTTATAAATCTTAATTTAACCTATCTTCTTAACAATTAATTATAATTTTATATTTTAATTAACTATATCACATTTTATTTTTTCTAAAAACATATTAATCTATATATAAATAAATAAAAAACTATTTAAATTTTAAATTCTTTTTTACTAATCTTTAATAAACTTTCGCCAGTAACAGCGCGAATCATCTTAGATGTTGCCACGTGTATCAAAATCTCTCCAGCCGTTCATTTTAAATCTACGAGAGCGGTTCCAGATGACCGCCCTCTAATATGCACTTCTGAGAGCGGTTCCCTTTGAACCGCTCTCTAAAATTGAGTTATGAGAGCGGTTCCTTTTGAACCGCTCTTTAACATAGACTACTGAGAGCGGTTCCTTTGGAACCGCTCTCTAAAATAGACTTATGAGAGCGGTTTTAGTTTAACCACTCTAAGAAGTTATGTTTCGTTTTTTTTGTGGCGAAATAAATATTAAAAAATTCAAAAATTAATACGTTCGCCAGCCGTTTGACGAAAATTTGATCCACGTGGCAAAAAAACCCCAGATTGAAAAATTGTTTCAGATTTGCTATAAAATAATAAATTGTTTTTTAATTTATAATATTATAATAAATTTGCCCAAAGATGCATCGGTTACACTTATATATTTATATATATATATATAACAATTATTTTTATACATGTTGAATTTTGCACTACAAAATACTCTTTTATTGTATATTATAAGTACATTTGTAAATACAATTTAAGAACATTTTTTTTTTTAAATTATATTCACAAATGCACCCATAATATATAGGAACAAAAATTTTGTAGTATAAACTCAACATGTAATTTCATAAGTTACTTTCAAATAAGTTTTCTAATATAGTTATTATATATATATATATATATATATATATATATATAAGTTATTATATAAAGTTGACGATAAATTTTTTAAAATAAGCTAAAACAAGTTTAATCTAATAACTATATTAGAAAACTTATTTGAAAGTAACTTACGAAAATTATAAGTTATTTTGATAAGCTATTCCAAATGTTGCATGTGGATTGCCAATCTAGAACCCTTATGGAGACTAAGGACTTTATTTCTCCAATCATCGAATTTTGATCACTAAAATATAGCATGTTTTTAATATAATCTTCTTCCTCCGGAACCAGACTCCCTCTGAATGTTAAAATATACAGTAGCAACTGGCAATCCAAGATTGTAAAGTTCAGCAAATTCTCTTGTGTTGAAATTCTGGCGCCATCCTGGGGCATACACTGTCTCCCTACCCAGTTGACGAAATAACACAAAGACGATACGATGAATCCCCATCATCGGTCGTGGATTTTCATAAGTCACAACCTCATGACCTGTGCAAATCATGAAATAGTATCATATTTTAATAACATTGAAAAGGGCATAAACATTTCTCTTTTCAAAATGTGATAACTATAAATTTGAATTTTATACAATAAATTAAAGTTAGCTTATGATTACTTAGATGTTTATTTGTATATATATTTCAATCTTAACAATTTAAATAAAATTTAATGATTTAAATTTATTGTTCACATTTCTTGCAATAACAAAATGTTTCTCACAGGAGTAATTTTCAATCCGAAAGTCTTCACAAAATTTTGAACAGATAATCCCATTAGAGAGGAGAAAGAAGCTAAAATTACTGACCGTTAAATGGTGGTCCTTTTTCATATGCTTGCCAAGATGCTGGGTTATTAACTTTGTTGCTCTAACTTTTAGTCAAGAGGATGTTTAGAAATGGTTTGGCTAAAACAACATTAAGTTTATATCAACAAAGTTGTGCCAACTAATGGTGCTCTTTTTGAATTTCTCTTAAATTGAAATTCTGGATCTTTGTACTCCCTAGGAGGTTTTTGGCCCTATCTTGGCATGTGATTCTGGATAAAAAAGTGAATCTATTCTAAAGGAAATGCTCCTTTAGTCACAACAACTACTATGTGTCTTTTGTCTTGAACAGATTGCATTCTTCTCATCTTTCTTTCACATGTTCATGAAGATTAAGAATTTGGATGATTGTACACTCTTTGCGGGTTTTGGAATGATTTTAACTCCGGACAACAAATTAAACTTCATTGTGAACTCGTTAGAGGGAGAAAATTTAAAACTTGGATGCTTTTATGGTTCGTAGTTTGATCTTTGGATTCACCATAATTGGATTTATTCAAAACAAGAAAGGTTTGACTTTTGTTGTATATCTTTTATCTTATCAAAATATGTAACATATATTTTTAATTTTTATAAGTATTATTTCATGTAATTTTAGTTCTTATAAATTTTTTTTTAAACAATCTCTATTACTGCATAATTAATAATATATATATATATATATATATATATCATGATTTAATTATATCGTATATTATGTTAAAGTAATTGTTAATATAATATAATTAAATATATGTCACAATAAAGAAAAAATTTATTATATTAAAATCAACATTTTTAACTAATAAAAACAAAATAAAGTCAAAATAATTAATTTTTTAAAGACTAAAAACATATTTAAAACTATAAAACTTAGGTCTCAAGTATTGACTAGTCCTCTACAATAGTCAAGCTTGTTTTTCTTAAGACTGGTACGTAAATTTTTCCTTCACAATTCTAGAAGTAACTCTATATATAGAAAGTGGTTAGAATATTTCTTGTATTCTGAGAATTGTATATTTTTTTTTTAGCATTAAGAATTTTTGTTTGGAAAGAAACGACTAATCAAATCTATCTATCTCATAATAATCTCAGATTTTAATCCTACGGGGATACGTATATGTTGGTCATGAGGTCAATCAACATACTCTAATATGATGCCCTAGTATCAAACTCATCTAGTGTGATTGTAATTTGGATTCTCTTTCGGAAAAAAGTGAAATTCGAACCTTGAAGAATGTACTTGTTGAGAGTTTATGTAATTAGTTCTTAATCTCCACCATACTCATATGATTAGTGTCAAATTCCTGGTCAAAGAAAAAATAAATAATAAAAAAGAAGATAAAAACAGACACGGTCCAGTTTTAGCATTCCTATAACGCATAATTGCCTTTTCACTTTTACAAGATATGTTCCACAATACCTAAAGTTCTCTATACCTTTGTACTTCGTGTCTGCAACGTTTCGAAACGATATTAGTGTTTCGTACTATGCGTTATCCACCAAAATAAATGAAAACAACTTTGTATGTCTTTATCAAAAAAGAAAAGCACTTTAAATTCAAATTCAAGCATACGTAAACCACCAGGATTGAAACCAAAGCTACATTATTTAAGATTCCAATATAATCATACTACTGAATTTTATTTATTTAATTTTGCTACATATATTTAATTCTTTGCAAGTAGCATTTATTTCTCTCCCTTAATCAAGTTTTGTCACTCGATCTAATATTAGTTTAACAAAAAACAAAAAAATGAGTTAAGTTTTATTATATTTGTAAAAAAAAAAACATTTACACTATCAATCAATTAAAATATATGGTAGACATGATTTTAAATCAATTATTAAAAGTATCAATGATTCTACTAATAATGACAAGACATAGTTCAATGAGTTAACAATAAGATATTTTTTTAATATTATCAGTACATTTCATTTAAATTTTTAAAAATAAGAAATTAAATAATATTATACTTTTAAGTGATTGAAAATATTGAATAAGATATATTCAATATTTTTATTAAATAATATTCAATAATATTCTTAATGCACATTATTTTTCTTTGAAAAAATAATCAAGTCATGAGTTATATGCAGAGCAAGAATTAAACTCGTAAATTATAGACCACGTAAATATTGTCATAAGGTTGGAAAGGAGTTAGAAGGAGATTACTCCAAACGACACAATTTCAACTTTTGAGTAAGATAAGGTTGGTGGAAAAGCTTGTAGAATGTCCGTAATTTATTTCCCAGAGATATATACTCAGTAAATAGTAGATTATTAATGAAGTTGAGTTCTTATCATAAACCGTCTTTGATTCCAAAACTTACAAGTGTAGGAATTTAATGTTCAATAAAGTTTCTAAGATCTTCATCAGTTAATTAAGAGAATTCAAAATGATTTTGAAACATTGTTAATTATTAAGAAAGTATCTTTCCAAAAACGAGGGTTTATATTTAACTCGTTTATTAGTTCAATTTATACTTAACTTTATATAAATTGTGCACTTTGACTCTTGATTTTATATAATTGAGTATTTATTTCAGAGCTAAGCTATTTGTTTTTCACATAAAATAGAACAAATTTTGTCATTAAAATACACATAAATATAAGTCATTAATTTAAAGTTAATACTAAGGGTTTCAATTAATAGTTTCGAAAAGCACACAATATTTTAGATTTAAAAAAGTGATCACATTAAAAATGAACTAATAACATACATACATACCAAAACTTGGCCCCGTAGTTGCTGGAATATCAGTCACCAACCTGAAATACATTGAGAGAAGACTGGGATAATATGACAACACACTACAAATCATTGTATAAAAACTAATGAATATGTATAGTTCAGTATATATTGAGGGCATATTCGAACCACAAAACTTCTCTCACCAATGGAGATATTCCCTCAAATTGGGGTCACTTGGGCTAGGTGCATCGGGGTCAACAGCGATCTGTAATGAAAGAAATGAAATCAAGTTTAGAAACTATAGCATCATTTACTAAACATATCATGGTTTCAAATTGTGATCCAAAATTACAACGGTAGCCATACTATTACAATATTAGCCACATATATCCATAACATCTTATAACGATATTTACCCAAGACATACATTTATTTTACTTCAACTATAATTATAATTTAAAATCATGATAGATATTGTGATTAAAGAAAGATGAAGATAAATATAGAGAATAAAAGAGTTATGAGAAAATTACCAGGGTGTAGAAGTTCCTGAGGTCATCTCCACCAATAGCTACTCTTGGTTGGTTGACAACTTGTGAGGGTTTGAACTCACACCCATTGCTAACATCTCTATTATTGTAAGCGACTCTCATAGGAATAGAACATTGAAAAGGGTCCAATACATCCCCAATCACACGCCCAACAACAAGAGGGTCCCTACTTCCACCAGGCATGACTGGTGGAGAGTGGACACTGTTCTACACAAATTTGGTTTTCTTATATACTCGTTGGCTTTTTTGCTTTGTTATAAGATCAACAATGAGGTTGCTATTTATACTCGACTCATTAGCTTTGGGTCCCTTTGTTTGAGTGGACATGGTGTCGCTTTTCAAATACATCTTGAACCAATGCATGATAAAAGAACATCACGCGGATGGATGTCAGCTCATTAAGATTTTGGACTCGTTAAAATTGATTCAAATTCTCTGTCTTATATTTTTGCTGGTGGGTATAAATTTTACTTTAGCAACACCTTATGACATGAATGTTATAAATTAAGAATATTGCAGCATAGTTAATTAAGTCCATTCTTATCATTTCTTTTTCAAATTTTATTATTGTATATTTGAAATTAAATTATTTTGCACTAAGAGTTTATTAAATAGTTGCATTAGTCACTTAGTCCTTACTCTATTTGAACATCTTCAATTAAGTTCTTGAATTTTATAGAACTGTAATGAAAGTATAGTTATAGTTAAAATTCAAATTAATTACAAACTTTTAAAATATGTAAACAATTGAAAGATCTGCAGATTATATAATCTGTGATTAAATATAAATATACTCGAATTTTAATACGATGAATATACACCTTTAATAAATATCTTACAGAAATACATGATAATGAAATCAACATAATTTTTTATGATTAAAGCATAACATTTTTTTTGCTAATCTTTTTTTCTCAATGCCTCACTTTTGTTTTCAAAGGTTAAGATATTGGTTTGGTAGTTGCTAAAGTTTTATTTTTTTCATAATTTAAAAAATTTTGGATAGCAGTCTAATAAAAATAAACAAAACTTAAATATAATATTATAAGTATTATTATTGTTGTTCTCTAATTAAAATTGAAAATTCACTTCAATAATATGGATAATAAAAGCTAGCATATTGAAAATCAGCATACTAATATTAAAAGTCAATACACATATTGAAATAAAACTCTAATTTTAATTAATAAAATAACATAATAATATCTATCTTACTGCATCTATATTTTATTCTAAAAATATTTACCGGTGCTAAGGTTTGAGTAGCAATACCTATTACATATAATAAAATAAATTGGTGAAAAATATATAATCTTATAAAGGGTGACCAATGCAAAGATAGAAATTAAAAGAAAAAATCTTTGGTAATATTCAGAAAGTACTTATTGGGATCCTCATCACACCATGACCATTATGGCCAACAACACAACGAAGATTACGTTGTCTATGTTAAATTCAATCTTCTTCTGCAGTTGCAGTCGAGAAGTAATATGGATGGCGATATGAAAGTTGTAATGGAGACTAAGCAAATATAAAAAAAATGAAGAAAATGAAAAGTTTATTAACAAATTAAATTAAATTAAGATATTTTATTAACAAATTAAAATTCTATGAAAAATATGCAGAAAATCTTCACAATCTGTTCTTTAAATGAAATGCATTCGCAACAGTTTGTGAATGATGAATTTGCTAAAATAATTAATTAAAAAGGTTACAGCAGAAAAATAGATTTTATTTTCTTTCAAGTTTTCCCAGTTTTTGATATAAGAAAAAGTAGAGGAGAGGGATTATCGTGTTATACTTTGTGAGTAAAATTCTTGTAGACGCAAAAATCCCCAACTAACCATGTCGTGACAGCTGGCACAATAAAAATTATATATACATCGTATACCGAATAACTTTAAAATGAAATGTGAGGCATATCAATGTGTTTAAGAATCTCCTTTATAATAATATATATATGCCCCTCACTTGTTCCATCATTCACGATTTTACTTTCGAGACTTTTCTTTCTCCGTCAAGAATCACTCTCTGACTTTACACTTTTAGAGTAGACACATTCACTTCCTTAATTTGTCGTCATTTTCAACAAATCCTCCCTTATTGCGACAAAGCATTCGCTCGTGTCAAGTGATCAACCCACTTTAGGTCCGGTCAATTTTTAATATCTTTTATATTTCTATAAATACTTTTATTTTGTTAATAATATTATATACTTTTATCTTCTTAATGTATGTTTCAAGATACATAATATATAATTAATATTTTTTATTAAAATATAATAATTAGTTTTATCAATACATTAAGTATGATTAATTTAATAAACAATAGTATGTACAAGTTATTATAGTATATCTTTATACATACATTAAAAAATTATTTAAAAATATGTAAATAATAACATTTTCTTCAAATTTAAAAATAATATAAAAATTAATAATTTACATTACATTAATATCTCCTCAATAATTATATCTAAGACAGAAAATGTTCTGAAGACGATCCTGACATTGGGTGAGGTAGCTACTTGAAGAGATGAATATTCTCTCATTTCTAATCTGCCAATCTCATTGGTTTTGTGGGAATGATATATTCTCTTTTTATTTTTATAGCGAATAAATATCTACCTGCGCTTTTTCACTACTTAGCCTCCTCTGTTCACACGTGACTTAAACTACATAACGACGCCTGTTAAATTTTGTTTAGTAAATTGCATTTTATTTTTTATAATTTATTTTTATTTCTTTTTATGTCACTCAAATTCTTTATATTTATTTATTTTTAATATTACTTAACTCTTCTGTAATACTATTCTTTTATATCACTTCTTACTTCGTAAGAGGGTTTACGATTCAGAAAAGGTATAAATTAAAGGACTAAATTAAAAAGGCATAAAACTATAAAGGAATAAAGAATAATTTATTATTATTATTATTATTTTGCTTTGCACGTAAAGAAATAAACGAAGTTATGTTTTTTTCCCATGAAGGGGAATGAGTTAAAAAATGAAAAGATTAAGCTGGTACTGAAAGCATATGTTCTTGATTCATAATGTCTAGTTAGCTCGTTTTGGTTCCTCTCTTTGTCTAATTTAGTTATTATTAATTTATTTTTATTTGTTTATTGACCAATTTTAGACATTTAATATAAACATTAATGTTCAAAATTTTGTAAATGTGCGATGAATGTTAAACTTCTGTAAATTTAGGATTCATAGAAAATAATATTTTACTCCAATAAAATTTATTTATTTATTTATTTGCAGATTTAATATTTGTTAAACTTGATTAGATTAGATATAAAATATTTGAAATTAGTTTAAATTTGAATTAAAAAATTAATTTAAATTTAAAATTTAAAACTCAAATTCTATATATTATCGTAGCTTAACTGTCTCATTGTTATACAAAAGTTAAATTAATAGCATTTTCCGTTACATACAGCTTATTTCTACTTTTTAGGCAAAGTAAAGAACTAGAAATTGAATTTAAACAAATCCAGATTTGCTTAAACGAAAATACACTATTACCAATTCTCTTTCCTTCTTTCTCCTATTCTCTCACCCGCTCAACCCCCTACCCCTCACCCACCTAGTTTCTCCTCCTCACCTTCTCACCCAGTTACCCTCTTCCTCTCTCTCTTTCCCTCCCGTTTTCATAGCCCCTTCCACCCGGCCCCTTCTCCCTCTCACCCATTCTTGTCCTTTCTGTTCTCACTCCCGTTCTCTCCGCCCCTTCCTCTCTCCCACCAAGCCTTTCCTTCTCTCATGCAACCCACCCTCCCTCTCCCTCTCCTTCTAACCCAGTCATCCTCTCCTTTCCTTTTTCCCACCCAATCTCTATAACATTTTCTTTTTATTTTTTGATAAATTATATTTTTATTAATGTTAAGAAGTATTAGAATGCATTTAGATGTAAGTTTGAAGGATTTGTAGAGGAGTTTTAGTACAGGAGATCTCGCTCAGGTAAGGTAAATCTCGTCTAGGCAAGATTGAGCGTGCAAGAATATCTTACTACAGTGGCTATCTAGCTCAGGCGAGATAATTCTCGCTCAAGCAAGATAGTATAAATGTTATCCAACTGTCACTTCGCCCAAGCGAGAGTGATCTCACTTAGGCGAGCTGAGGATCTTTCTCAGGCGAAATGGGTCACTCAAGCGAGGACCCACAGGAGAAATAACATGCTCTTTGGACACCATATCGCTCAAGCGAGATGGAGCTTGCTCAAGCGAGCATATCAAAAGATAGTGAGCAAGACCACTGTTTGCATATCTCGCTCAGGCAACAGACTCGTCGCTCAAGCGAGATGTCATCGCTCAAGCGAGTTGTCCCTCGCTCAAGCGAAAATGCGTGGGGCTGAGGGGATATTTAAGAGATTTTTTGCATGATAATTAAGCTTTCTCTGAACTCACGCCTCTCTCTTAAACTTTCTCTGAACTCTCTCTTTCTTTTATCTAGATAAAAACCTCAGAAACTTCGTTTTCTCTTCAAAGTCAAACTTGGACATTGAAGCTAATCGACTCTAAGTAAGTTTTTTCAGATTAAACTTGAGTTTCTCTAATTGTTTTCATATTTTTGTTCTTATTGATATCTCTTGATACTCAGGAGAACTTCTATCCGTGATCTTTATTCCTTTTTCAACATCTCTTTGAAAACTCATCTTTAAGGTAAGGAGAGCTCTATTTAATCGTATAGTACAATATTTATTTATACTCATAGAGCACTATTAGGTGAATATGGTATGAGAATAAATGATGGAGATATTTGTTGTGTGGAGTATGAATGAAGATATGTTTGTTTGATTGTTTAGAATGATTGATTGTTTGGGCCAAAAGGCTGATGTATGCTTATTTGCATTGTATGATGAGTACTTTATGATATATATTTGAGTAAAATGATATAAGGTAACGATATTGATATCAAAGATTTACGGTTGAAATTGCATCAATGAATGTATGCGTGGAATGGATTTAGTCTGAAAGTGTTTTAATAAGCACGATCTGATGAGTGAGAAAGAGAATAACGCTGAGAATTACCTAAGGATCGGATATGGATGGAATCTAGGATGAATAGTTACAAAAATACACTAGGGGTATAGAGTCTGGAGACGATGAAAATCTGGGGAAAAAGTAGGGTGGTGAGCGACATTCGCATATGTGTATACACACTTTCTAAGAACGAATGC